ACAAAGCCTCTGTACTGCTGCAACACAACACTGATGGCAGACATTCAGCTGAACACACTGCTGCTCACGCGGATCAAACTAACCTAATCAAGCTAAATTTCACTCATACTCTTCAAATACATTCAACCCATTATTAGCAGGTCCTGTTAGCTCTTATAGTATATATTAGAACTACACAGTCTGGTCTACATTAGTTTTCAAGATGTTTTCTATGTTTTCAAGATTAAAGATTTTATTTAGATAATTGTGTGGAAATATATACATATATATATATACATATATATATATATATATATATATATATATATATATATATATATGTGTGTGTGTATATGTGTGTGTGTGTGTGTGTATATATATATATGTATAGCACCCCTGTTTATTTTTTTCCCCAATTTCTGTTCTGGAAAGATTGTTTCAGCACATTTCTAAACATAATAGTTTTTAAAACTTATTTCATTTATTTCAGCAATTAATTAAATTGAATCTTTAAAATAAAAGTATTTTTATAATAAACGTCTTTTTAATTTAATAATAGCTCTGACTATTCCAAACTGAACAGACATGACAGAAATTGAACAGGTATAGCATATTATTAAAAACCTTCAACCGACTGCTGAACATGGGAAAGTCTTGACATGGCGAAATGGCTTCATATTCAGAGTAAATGTTCTTTATAAGCGGAAGCTGCTGAGAGGCACAGGGGCTGAACTGTTTTTGAAACAATTGCTTTTGTGTATATGTAAGTGTTTTTTTTTAACTGGCAGTCCAGACTAATCCCATTCAGAAACATTCTGCTTCAGATTAGACTACAGCATTACCCTATATACTCCACTAATGCACAACATAAACACATTCAGCCACTCAAAATCCCTAACACCCGCTGACATACAGCACACATACATGCAGATACTCAGATTTCAGTTGGTTAATCGGCATGAACCGTTAAACAAACACATTTCCTAAGAAGAAAATCTCCATCACCTCCAGGATTGGCAGGATGTAAAACTCTGATGGGTAATGCTGACAGTTTAGTTCTGAGCTAGAAAACACAAAGCACATGTCAGATGTGACCCATTCAGAGAACTGGTACATCCAAATCAAGTCATTTGGCCCGCAAATCATTTGCACAGGATTACACTGCTGGCTATTTGGGTTCTGGAATTCACATTTTTATGAAATCATGATTTTACATTATCTCAGAGTTTAGATAAGTTCTGCTGCCCCTAAAAAATAAACGAAGACTGGTAAAACCAAACAAAAAGAGTGTCAAAACCAACACAATCTCACGGCAATTCGTAACTTTTTTATTTAGTGGCTAATTCGTATGAATTCGTACGATCTAATTCGTACAATTTAGTACGATATGCTTATCCCAAGGATTCCATATCCGGGACCAGGCCATATCCTGAGCTGCTGCTGCGCTGATGGTCGTGGGGAGAGGAGAACATGAGTCTGATTCCAGCGACGCTCCAGGGACAGACGAGTCTTCGCTGAGGCCATCTTCCAGCCTAAACCACGGCGAATGAAGCTCTGCACAAGACTTTTGGCCAGCGGAGAAATTAAAATGGTCGTGCCCAACTGAGTCTGGTTCTCTCAAGGTTTTTTTTCTTCACTCCCATCAGGTGAAGTTTTTTTTCCCCTCTCCGCTGTCGCCACTGCCTCGCATGGTTCAGGATTGGTAGAGCTACGCATCGATGAATTTGCTCTTCAGTGTTTGAACTCTCAGTAATGATTAAATCACACTGAACTGAGCTAAACTGAACTGAACTGAACTTAAACACTAAAATCTGAACTACACTGTTCCAGTTACTATGACCATTTATGTGAAGCTGCTTTGACACAATCTACATTGTAAAAGCGCTATACAAATAAAGCTGAATTGAATTGAATTGAATTGAATTATCCCCCAATGACGGTTGGGGTTAGGGGTGGGGTTAGGTGCCACGCCTCCTTTTCAAAATCGTATCATTTCGTACGACTGAAATCGTACGAATTCGTACAAATTAGCCACTAAACTGGCAAAATGTAAAATACTTACGTTTTCTCGTGAGATCAGGCTGGTCAAAACAGGGGACTACACTGTATTTGTGATGTTCGGTTTCAAGGGTTCACATTCGAATATGTGAAATGTAAAAATGTGCTTTGTTACTTTAATTATGAAAGTGAATTTTAATGCAATGTGTACACGTGGCCTTACAAACACTCTGAATGTCTCCTGAGGTGCCAGACGAAAGACAGTGAAGACTTGCACGTGAAGGAGTGCACATAATAGAGCGACAGATTATGAGTGCATGCCACAGATAACTAGGACTACAGCCAGAGAAACACTCCACTAATTACAGCCTTCACATACTCCACCTAAAGTGCTCTTAATCCTGACAAGCCTCTAATTTAATACTAATCAAACTACGTCTAAACATCTGATGCATTTAAAGGGATAGCTCACCCAAGAATTTTAATTCTGGCACCATTTCCTTAGCCCAAAGTGTCTAGAAGATAATAAGAAGAATGCTGGTAGCTGGCACACATTAGCTATGTTTCCATTCAAAGATGCGAATTAGATTTGTGCGCAAAACTGATACATATATAAACATTTACGAATAAAGCTCCATTTCCATCAAATAAGTCATATATAGTGATAGTTGGGAAGGGGGGTGGCGTCTGTGTGGTTGGCCCCTAATAATATCTCTGGGGGCCCCAAAACTGAGTGGGCCCTTAGAATTGTCCTTACTTTCCCCCCTAGCGGCGACCTTGCCCTCACTGTAGGTTATTCCCCTCACGCAAATTCCCATCTTGAGTTGAATTATTTGAACATGTCCCGTAGACATAGTAGACAATTTCCAAAGCGTATTCCACATCATACAGTACATACTATGCAACAGTAATTCACTTCTATTTGCACTTTTGCATCAGCAGTATGTAACCTACTGGTGCTAATATTTCGTACTGCATTTGGTGTGAACCCAGCACGACATGATGTGAATCGACAAAAATGTGCATTATGTTCCACTGCCATTTCAAAAATGGCATTTCTATTTATCTCATTTGCCAAAATGGTTCTTACTTCTAGCTCAGGGGTGTCCAACTCGATCCTGGAGGGCCGGTGTCCAGCCGAGTTTAGCTCCAACCCTAACTAGACACATCTGAACCAGCTAATCAAGCTCTTACAAGTCATACTAGAAACGGACCTGGAGGTCTGATGTCCTGAAGAGTTTAGCTCCAACCACAACTAGACACATCTGAACCAGCTAATCAAGCTCCTACAAGTCATACTAGAAGCGGTCCTGAAGGTCCGTTGTCCTGCAGAGTTTAGCTAAACACACTTGAACCAGCAAATCAAGCTCCTACAAGTCATGCTAGAAATGGTCCTGGGGGTCCGGTGTCCTGCAGAGTTTAGCTCCAACCCCAACTAGACACACCCGAACCAGCTAATCAAGCTCCTAGAAGTCATACTAGAAACGGTCCTGAAGGTCCAGTGTCCTGCAGAGTTTAGCTAAACACACCTGAACCAGCTAATCAAGCTCCTACAAGTCATGCTAGAAACGGTCCTGGAGGTCTGGTGTCCTGCAGAGTTTAGCTCCAACCATAACTAGACACACCTGAACCAGCTAATCAAGCTCTTACAAGTCTTACCAGAAACTTCCAGCAGGTTTGTTGAGGCGAGTTTGAGCTAATCTCTGCAGAACACCAGCCCTCCAGGACTGAGTTTGGGCACTCCTATTCATGCTCAACAAGGTTTGGTGTTGCTTAAAAAACACTTGTCAGAGCTGGGGCTTTAAGAGATGAAAGCACTGAACTGATATGAAACTATATGGACCGTGACATTCGAGACACCAAGCAGATCTAGGGCTAGATCATGCCACAAGATCACGTCAATCCCCTATTCTACTGACTTCCATACACTGTAAAAAGTGCTGTGTTCCACACAATTCATTCGTGTTGCCCCAACACAAACCAATTAAGTTTAATTACCTTTAAACACATTGTAGGAGCCATACATTGTGTTTTGGCGATTGGCCACAAGGTGTCAGTAGGAGACTATATGACTGTGGCTTCACTGCATTGAGCAAGATAGTGGTGGTAGGAAGCACATAGGCTGCGTCCGAAACCGCATACTTCCATACTATATAGTTCGCTAAAATCAGAATGCGAGCCGAGTAGTATGTCCAAATTCATAGAATTCGGAAATCAGTAGGCGAGAAGTACCCGGATGATTTACTACTTCCGGCGAGATTCTGAAGTGCGCATCCCATGCACGCTGCGCTATCCCATAATGCCCCGTGAGAGAATTCATGAATGGAAGTGAGGCGACGCAACTGACGCAGGTAGGTCACGTGACCATGACAAAATGGCGGATGTAGTACGTCCGAATTCCATTCATACTTTTCACATTCATACTGTATAGAGCGTTCTTTTTTTAACAGCCGAGTAGTTTGTGTAAATTCAAATGCAGTACCTACTGAGTAGTAGGCGGTTTCGGACGCAGCCACAGTTTTTGACCGTCTCATACTGTAGCGCAACTTTACTTAAGTCAACGTACAGCTTAAGGTAACAGAGAAGTCCATGTAGATTAAGGAAAAGTGCTGAAGTAATTCTGTTGATTGGAAAATAAAGACGTTTTTATTTGCATCTATTTTGACTTTACGCGTACAAAACTTGCTTGCTCTACCAATAGCGGCAATGGAACGCAGCTACACACATTTTAGTGGATTAAACATAAAACAATTCATTTGTCCAAAAAAAAAATTTAAGAAGTGAGTGGTTTCAGTTCATTTTAAATACGTAGTTTGAACAAGCAGCACAAATAATTTTTTAAGTGTGCTAATTTTTTGTCTGCTATGAAAGCATTCTTCAAAACATCTTCTCATTAAGGTTAAAAAAAACATCACTGAGAATAAATGAGTTCATTTAATTTTTGTGTGAACTATCCCTTTAAATAGATTTGCTCACATTGCTCTACTGGTGGTCAATCTAACCATTTCTCTTTCTCTCACCAGATTGAGCTCTCCAAGGAAGCTTCCAGAAGCAGGAGGTGGTGTTGCTGAGGAAACCATCACCATTCCCTCAATAGCTCCGAGCAGCGGAGCAAGAGAGCGGCGACTGGTCTGGAGGGCTCTTCTGCAGAAAGGAGCCCTGTTGAGACAAACCAACACACCTGTCAGTCAAAACAGTGGTGCTCAGGGACATTTCCGGGAGCGTCGGCATGCCTTCAGAGGGTCACGTGGGCACCCGCAGCTCATGCGTGTCGGATGTGTCCTCGGAACCTGCCAGGTACAAAACCTGAGCCATCGTCTCTACCAGCTAAACAGCCAAAGCAGACGCCAGGAATCGCCAATCAACCCCAGAAGCCCACACAGTTACGGATAAGACCTTATGATGAAAGCACTTTCCAAACAAATGTGAGACCAACAGGCATATTCCATTTACAGATGTTCCTTTGTCAGAAATTGAGACTATATAAACACATCCATTAATGATGAAGACATTAGTAGAGTATGTAAATGTTGGAGATTATTCAGAAAACGTCTATTAGATGTTCATAAACTTCATGCAGAGTCATGAGGAAGATGATAGATGGATATTACTCCTAAACATTAGAAGAACTGAAGAGCAAAAAGAGGGAAAGTTTGTCCAAGACTGTGCTGTTCCTGACTGTGTTTAGCTTCTACTGTCCTGCTGAAGGAGCTCAAGATGGAAGAAGACGTTTAGTATTGATCATTTCAGGCTGATCTGAATATTTTGAGCAGAGCATTTCAGCCTGGATTGCTCAGTGTATCTCACGAATACCTTAGAGTGATGTTTTTAGCAGACAAAACCAACAGAAAACACCTTAGTGGATCTCAGGGAAGAGAAAATACTAGATGAATGACCAATTTAAAGGGATAGTTCACCCAAAAATGAAAATTTCCTAATTTATTCTCCCTCATGTGGTTTTAAACCTTTCTGTTTAACATTTCTATGGAAGTCATTAGGTGACAGCCGTTATCATTCTTCAAAGTATCTCTTTTTGTTTTTAACAGATGAAACTAAACAAATTTGAAATTTTTAGGTGAACTATCCCTTTAACAGAGGACAGACTTTATCTAAAGGTGTCAATGTTTGCAGACACTTTTTAAAACTACTTAATGCACTTTTGTAATGAAGCGACTTGAAGCTTCATTATCTTTATGGAAATCCCTCCCGTTTGAGAAGATTGCCTGAGCTCTGAGTGGAGACACATCGCCCTTGACTGAGCCAATGAAAGTCTCACGTGAAAACACTAAGAGTAAACATTCAGACATTCAATATATACCTAAATATTTATGCATTTCAGTGCATTTGGTAAATTAAAATTTATTTAAAAGACAGAACAGAATGTGTGTGTTATTATGTTTTAACTGTCAAACAATATTATGTTTATGGTTAAAGGAGCAGTGGAAACATGTGTCATTATTTATTCATGTTTGTTCATAATCTGACCACACTGTAAAAAGCAATTAGTTGACTTGATTTTAAAAAAGTGAGTAAACCCTATGCATTTAAAGAGATTAATTATACTTTAAAATTAAGTAAAGTTGTTGTTTTTAACGCATTTAGTTGGCTTTATATATGTGAGTAAACCCATTGTTTTTGAAGCAATTAGTTGACTTTAAAAATAGCAAACCTGTTGCTTTTAAAAGTGATTAGTAGACTTTACATGATAAAAGAGTAAACCTGTTGCTTTTAAAAGCAATTCCTTGACTTTACTTTAAAAATGAGTAAACCTTTTTTTTTTTAAAGCGATTAGTTGACTTGACTGCTCAAAACAATTTAGTAAACCTGTTGCTTTTAAAAAGAGTTAGTTGACTTTACTTAAAAAAAATTACATAAATCCCTTGCTTTTAGAAGTGATTAGTTGACTTTACTTTTTTAAAAGAGTATACCTGTTGCTTTTAAAAGCGATTCGTCGACTTTAAAATCGAGTATACCTGTTGCTTTTAAAAGCGATTAGTTGACTTTACTTTAAAATCGAGTATACCTGTTGCTTTTAAAAGCGATTAGTTGACTTTACTTTAAAATCGAGGATACCTGTTGCTTTTAAAAGCGATTAGTTGACTTTACTTTAAAATCGAGGATACCTGTTGCTTTTAAAAGCGATTAGTTGACTTTACTTTAAAATCGAGTATACCTGTTGCTTTTAAAAGCGATTAGTTGACTTTACTTTAAAATCGAGGATACCTGTTGCTTTTAAAAGCGATTAGTTGACTTTACTTTAAAATCGAGTATACCTGTTGCTTTTAAAAGCGATTAGTTGACTTTACTTTAAAATCGAGGATACCTGTTGCTTTTAAAAGCGATTAGTTGACTTTACTTTAAAAATTAAGTAAACCTGTTGCTTTCAAGACCGATTCATTGACTTTACCTTTCAAAAAAATTTAGTAAACCAATTGCCTTTAAAAGTGATTAGTTGACTTTACATTTTTAAATAATTGAGTAAACCTACTGCTTTTAAAAGCAGCTAGTTGACTTTTAAAACCGAGTATACCCGTTGCTTTTGAAGCGATTAGTTGACTTTAATTAAAAAAGTGATTAAACCCGTCGACTTAAATTTATGATGCAAATGAAATATGTGAGGTGACGTGGTGGCACAGTAGGTAGTGCTGTCGCCTCACAGCAAGAAGGTCACTGGCTTGAGCCTCGACTGGGTCAGTTGGGATTTCAGTGTGGAGTTTGCATGTTCTCCCTGCATTCATGTGGGTTTCATCCGGGTGCTCCGGTTTCCCCCACAAGTCCAAAGACATGCAGTACAGGTGAATTGGGTAGGCTAAAAATTGTCCGTAGTGTATGAGTGTGAAAGAGAGTCTCTGGGTGTTTCCCAGTGATGGGTTACAGCTGGAAGGGCATCCGCTGCATAAAACGTGCTGGATAAGTTGGCGTTTCATTCCGCTGTGGCGACCCCAGATTAATAAAGGGACTAAGCCGAAAAGAAAATGAATGAAGGAATTATTTGCATAATCATAAAATGAAGTCGAGTTAACAGCTCCTAGTTGCAATGGGGTAAAATAAACTAATTCCCTTTTACAGTGCAGCTGTGTGTATTGGTTGTTTTGGTAATTTATTAATGCTCATGTTAAAATGACATTCATCCTGACATTTGGCATTAAAATATTTGAATGAATGTGAACAGCAGAGACATTTGTTTTCAGTGAAGAACAACATCCATTTTAAGTTGTTTAAATTCAACTGGAATTAAGTTAAGAGCCAAAACAGTTATGTAACAAGCCAGAAACTGCTTTCTTTTAGCAGAAACTACTCAGTATTATATTTATTCTTTTTTTAAATAGTAGTATAGCGCTTCAGTGTGTCTGTGCAAGTCACCATACAGTATGGATAAGTGAAAATAGCAACTGTTTTCGAACAGGTTTCTGGAACATTCCTCTCATCAGCCATTGGCTGGACAAAATGAAAGCCCTGCCCTAAAACCACACCATTGGTTAAAATCAATATTAACATGCAGGTTTGCTCAAACAAACCAAGTAAAGAAGCGTCACAGACCCAACATGTTTAAACAAAAGTCTTACTTACAGCCTCCTCTGCACTTTAGCCTGGAGAAAGTGTTTTCATTTAGAAGTTTACACACATCTACTTGAAGTGTCTGCATGGCTTTCAGGAGCACTGTATATTTCCATTGAAACTTTTAAGACGTCAAGACTTCATCCATAAAGCTCCAAAACGTTCAACACTGTCTGACCGTGTATGTTGCACACGACAGTCTTTACAGCATGAAATCACAAACACAAATAAAACATGGACGACGACTTGAAACATAAACGCTGTCCCAGATCGTCACAGTGGTGGAATGTCTGCTATGTTCACGTATAGGTCAAGTGTTACTAATAAACATAAAGCACTTTAATATAACACGATCGATCGCTTTCTTTAACGTCATTGACTTGAATGGAAGATGTGCTGTTTAATTGTACGTTTTTAAATAAATGCTGTCTAATGATTGAATGCTTGTGGTTATGTGTCACGGTGGTATATTTTAATATGATTTAAATGTGTCAATAAACACAACAAATGCAAAAGCTTTCTCGTTTTCCTTTGTAAATATGCAAAGGCACAGACACATACTGTAATACACAGATCACTCTGACCATTAATGTCACAGTGACATCAGTCAGACATTATCAGTAGTTCACTATGACCTAAAGTACCATCTTAAAAATGAAACTGTGGTCAAATATATTAAATGCATCAAGAATATGATCATTGAACAACAGAGATATAAGGTGACGCTTTATTTTGATGGTCCGTTTGTTACATTGCATTTACATGACAACTAATTCTCACTAGATTATAAGTGGTCTGTTGGGTTGGGGTTAGGGTTAGTGTGAGATGACATGCACTTGCAAAGTTTCTTATAGTCAGTTAAATGTCTGTTGAAGGAGCGTATTAACAGATATTAAGCAGACAGTCTACTAATACTCAAATGGACCATCAAAATACAGTGTTACCATATATATTAATAATACCATATATTAATAATAATAATAATAATAATAATAATATAATAATATTATCAAATAATAATATTTTTATATAATAACAAAAACAATAATAATAATAATAATATTAATAATAATAAAATAATATTAATATAATAATAATATTTTAATATAATAACAAAAACAACAATTATAATAATATTAATATAATAATATTAATAATATTTTATAATAATAATAATAAAATATTATTAAATAATAATATTTTTATATAATAATAACAATAATAATAAAAATAACAATAATATAAGAATAAAATAATAATATAAAATAATAAAATAATAATAATAATATTAATAATATAATAATAATGTGCCCTTAATTACTACAATTAAATTAATCATTTGGTATGGTGCACTTAATATGCAAGTATTTACATTGTCATTTAAGACAAACATCTGCATGCATATACAGTTCTAAATAATTTCTGCAATTAATTACATTAATAATTACACAGTTGACCATCTCTTAAACTTGAACCCACCCTTAAACCTACCCTTACCACCAAACCTGTCACTAACCTTGTGCAGTACAGTATAAACACAGTGGATTTAACTTATTTTTGAATACCTAGTAGTTAAGACCACTTAATATAAAAAAGGACCAAAGGTTACACTAAACATTTGATTTATTAATGGGCCAGATTTGTTAAAAACTTAGTATTTTAATGATTTTTTAAAAAATAAAAATCTTTTGTCACATAATATTGGTGTATTCCTATGGCTGTATGATCAATTTAATAGAAACTTGTTGAATAAATGTGTTAATTAGCAGGTCATCTGCATCCTTTTTCCTTAATGTTAAGCATTGTACAGTTTGACCAGCTTCCTCATTTTATTCTTGCGATTCTTCTTATTATAATGCAAAAATAGATTAGATTAGACTGCCATCTGCTGGATTTAGACTCTGGCTTTTTGTATAAACAAATGATCACAGAGACTTATGGATCATTCATTCATTCATTTTTTTTTTTGGCTTAGTCCCTTTATTAACCCTTTGATGCACAAGCTATAAAATAGATATAGAAAAAATAAACTTAGACAGGTCACTTTAGACCCATGTAGTGCATCAAAGGGTTAATCTGGGGTCACCACAGCAAAATGAAACGCCAACTTATCCAGCATATGTTTTACGCAGCGGAATGCCGTTCCAGCTGTAACCCATCACTGGGAAACATCAGTGCACACCCATTCACTACGGACAATTTAGCTTACCCAATTTACCTGTACCGCATGTCGTTGGACTTGTGGGGAAAAGCGGAGCACCCGGAGGAAACCCACGCAAACACGGGGAGAACATGCAAGCTCCACACAGAATTGCCAACTGATCCAGCTGAGGCTCAAACCAGCGACCTTTTTGCTGTGAGTCAATTTTGCTACCTACCACCACCGTGCAGTCCCACTCATGAATAATTTCAAATACAAAAAGATAAAAAAAAAAAAAAAATAGTTCTTATTTTTTAAACACCATTTTACGTTCAAAATTATTAGCCCCTTTAAGCTAAATATATTTTTTCGCAGTCTACAGAACAAACCATCATTATACAATAACTTGCCTAATTACCCTAACCTGCCTAGTTAACCTAGTCAAGCCTTTAAATGTTACTTTAAGCTGAATAGAAGTGTCTTGAAAAATATCCAATCAAATATTATTTACTGTCATCATAGCAAAGGTAAAATAAATCAGTTATTAGAGAGGAGTTATTAAAACTATTATGTTTATAAATGTGCTGAAAAAATCTTCTCTCCATTAAAATTTAATATTGGGGGAAAAATAGACAAGGAGCTAATAATTAAGGAGGGCTAATAATTCTGACTTTA